TATATATATATATATATATATATATATGTATATATGTATAGATATAGATATAGATAGATAGATAGATAGATATTTATATATAATGCGTGTGTGTTCGTTTGAATAACATTGATTAACTGATTGTGTTTGATTGTATCACGATTTTTGATTGTGTTGAATAATTCTCGTGTCAACCCTTTCCATAACTCCAGCTGAACATGAGCCGCGAAGACACATCACCGACTCTGGATAGAAATTCGGAAGAAGATTTAGAGAAAGAAAGAAGCTTCAACAAAAATTCAGAGGAGGACTCCAAGAAGAAAGATAGGAATGAAGACCCAGAGGAAGACCCGAAGAAAGAAGAAGATACAAAGAAAAACTCGGAGGAAGACCCGAAGAAAGAAGATACAAATAAAAACTCGAAGGAAGACCCGAAGAAAGAAGAAGATAGGAATGAAGACCCAGAGGAAGACCCGAAGAAAGGCGGTAGCAACTACCTCAAGATCGGTGCATGTGTCGCTCTTGGTGCAGTTGGAACCGTCGTTGTAGCTCCTGTTGTGCTGGCTGGTGAGCCTTTTTGTCTTATTCTAGTTCATTCTGTTGGATTCGTCGTGCTTCAGTTTGATTCGATACGATTCAGCTGATTCGATCCCAAATGCTCGTGAATCAAGGGAGCGCATAGTTTAGAATCTCTCCCCGCTGGCTCTCGTCGTGTCAGCTGAAGGCTCACAGGTCGTCAGGAGTCTAGTTTCTTTTCTTAGCTGTTCCTTATGAAGAAGGGATGCTGACAAAGATTAAATGATTTTGAATTGACCATAAAATATCTGATACTGTGTTATTAAGGGTTCTCTGTGATAGACATGAAAATGAGTGCTAAATGAGGCTTGTGTGTAATTATAGTTTTTGTATACTGTATACTGTTTACAAACTATTAGCATCTTCTTGATCTGTCAGTGGAAAATTAGAGCATCAGTGTTATCTCTATATTGGAAATTTAACAGTATTTTTTTGTTATTTTGTCGGCAATAGCGCTGTAAAGGTTGTCATCGATATGATATTCTTTACTCTTTCGTCAAGTGAAAGCAAAAAGAAAACAGAAATAGTAGGTTATTGACAGAATCATATTACCCGTGCTGTAAAATGAACACCCAGCACTTGTAGAGATTGTTCATTTGGTGCTCTTCTGTGAGTCATGATTCACTTGTCAAGATATAACACAGTGGATGTAGACAGATATCCCAGATAACCCAGAATATGATTTATGGGAATATATATGTATATGTACATTTTTTTTCTTTCTTATAGGTGTAGGCTTTACTTCCGGTGGAATTGCTGCTGGGTCTTATGCTGCTTCCATGATGTCATCTGCCGCCATCGCCAATGGGGGGGGTGTTGCAGCTGCCAGCTTGGTAAGTAGCTTGTGACATGATTTTATAATTTAGTTAGAGTAATTTTGAAATATGTAGGATACAATTTTTATTTTGCTGTTAATTTTCAAAGCCAGTCTTGATGTATAGATCTGACATCATCTAATCCAATGCTGCTGTGAGTGCTAGATGAAATGCATTCATCTAATGTGTTTTCATGTTCATTCACATCAAGTACAATTGTCACACGAGAAATAGTTTCTGCTGTTACTGCTTTTGCACATAGACTGCTGGAAGCATTACTTAGATGTACTATAGTGTCCCCAAGTATTTTAGTTCTTAGATCCAAACCCAGAAAACGCTCATGAGGTAAATCTGGTAATAAAAATGGACACGCCAAGCCGTTCTTCGCTTTAAAAACATTTGTTAAAACAGGTGGCAGCGCTGCAGTCGGCGAGCGCGGCAGGCATTGGCATCGGTCGGTGGGGCAGTAGGGGGGGGCGTGGCAGCAGCAGCTAGCTGGTTTAGGGGAAGCAGTGACTCTAATGACAAGCAAGGAGAAACAAATGTTGCTGAATAAATTGATGTGTTTGTGATGAAAATGATCATGGTGACAGAATTGATGCGTAAGTATACTCAACGCGATACTGAAGAACTTAGGAAATAAACAACAAAGAAAAGGGTATTGTTTTTCCCTCTATAATTTCAGGATTTAGTGTTACTGTTTTATTCCATATTAATAGAATTTCTGATTTTGAAAATAGCTCTCCCATAAAAAAAAAAAAAAAAAAATGCATGAAACCAAGGATTTAAGAGCTTTTGACAATTAGTTTGCAGAAAGGTTGTTAAACATTGAACTTAATGTTAATTTGCTTTATTTTGTTCCTAAAGTGAAGAAGCATTCTAAAGGACTTTGAGCCTTCGAGCGAGAAAATGAACGGATAGATTATAGAAAATTAGATATATAGATAGATATACAAACGAATGGACAGATATATTAATAGAAAAAAATAGATAGATGATAGATAGATAGATAAACAGATACAGATAGATACACGGATAGATAAAGAGAGAGAGAGAGAATTTAATTTCGCATTTCATTTTTAATTTAAGACAAACAAAACCAGTTGAAGACCAAGAATGACGTAAAATCAAATTTCTGTTCTATTCAATTATGATTATGCTCACGTGTGCATTACGTGACTAAGACTTGTATGTAGACTTGCTTGCATTATTACACATCTTGTACTAATGATTATGGTTGATATCTTTCTATATCTTCCCTCCTATGCCTTTTCAGAAGAAATGCAGCTAAATAAGTTAACGAAGTTAAATACCAAGAGCAGTTGAGTAATCGAAAATAAAGGAGAAAAAGTAACATTAGCACTATGTCTATATGTGAAAGAACCAAGGGAGTGTATTTTGTATTGTGTCCGTACGAGAACGGAACTATTTCATCATCTCAGCAGCATTAGTAATATTAGTTGTGGGTTGGGCTTGGGTATGCAGCACGTGTCACTGATCGTCCATAAGCTGTAGTTGTAATGTAAAAAGAACGTGGCTGTGGTCTGTGGCTGGTGGTTTCAAGGCAAAGCCCCCTACACTTGGCTCTTAGATAAGTGAAAATTATGTAATATTATATATATATATATATATATATTATATATATATATATATTATATGTATGTTATATATATTATATATTATATAATATATATATTTAATATATATATATATATATAATTATATATTATATATAATAATATATATATATATATATGTATATATTATAATATATATTATATATAATATATTATATATATATATATTATGTATATATATATATATTATATAATATATATTATATATTATATATTATATATATATTATATATGAAATATATATATAATATATATATATATATATATATATATATATATATATATATATGTATATATATATTTATATATATATGTATATTATATATATATATATATAATATATATATATATATATATATATATATATATATATATATATATATATATATATATATATAGCCATCGCTTATATCATGTCGGTGGAAGGCATCATGGTAGACAGTGAGGTAAGATCATGTTGGTACCAGACTGTGAGATAGGGAGTAGATTTAGTAGATTTTGATAATTTGTTTGAATAGAATTTGAATAATTTGCTTGTTCACAAAAAATTAATGGGTAAAGAGATTAGAAAAATAAAATAGAATATTTCCTTTAATGATTTATGTTTTCTTGGAAGCAACACACATTAAAATATTTCCTCTGGNCTCGAGCTCTCCGTCTCTTCTCTCTTCTCTCTCTCTCCTCTCCTCTTCCGCCTCCTTTCTATCCTCTCTGCTCTCTTCTCTCCGGCTGTCCAGTTCACCTCATCTCTTCCTCCCTCTCTCTCTCTCTCTCCTCTCTCTCTCTCTCTCTCTCTCTCTTCTCTCTCTCTGCTCTCTCATCTTCTCTGCTCTCTCTCTCTCCTCTCTCTCTCTCTCTTTCCCTGCTCTCTCTCTTTCCCTGTCTCTCTCTCCCTCCCTCTCTCTCAGTACCCCCTTCCCTCCCACGTTCGCTGGCTCGTAAGTCGCAGCTGGTTGAATAAAGTCTTCCCATCGTCACACAGTCCTTATGCCTCAGCATATTCTAATTCCAGCTTAAAATGAGCCACAAAAGACAGCCTAACGCTTTTAGATCTGCTCAGGATAGAAACTTCGGGAAGGCTAAGGAAAGGAAGTTAATAAAAAAATCAGAGGAAGACTCGAAGAAAAAGGGAGACTTTAGAAATTAAAAAGTCCGAGGTTGTGAGACTCGAAGAAAAGGGAATAGAAATAAAAGAATCCGAGGAAGACTCGAAAGAAAAAGGGACGATAGAAATAAAAAATCCCAGCTGGAGAAGACTCGAAGAAAATGAAAGAAGCCTAGAAATAAAGAATCCAGGGTGAGGAGACTCGAAGAAGATAAGGAGATAGAAATAAAAATCCAGGCATGAAGACTCGAAGACAATAAGCCCGAGCCCAGAGATATACGACAATACGCGCCGGTCCCAACTAGACCCAGCCCCAACAGGAATCCAGAGGAAGACTCGAAGAAAAAGGGAGGATAGGAAATTAAAGAATCGAGGGAAGTACTCAGAAGAAAAAAGGGACGATAGAAAGTAAAGAATCGAGGCCAATGACTCAGCGGACTCTGAAGTCCATAAGATCTGGATGCTTGTGCCGCCTGTACCAGAGGCTGCCCTTGGAACCGTTTTGCTGCACGCCTTCCTCTGTTATATTGACTTGGTGAGCCCTTCTTACTTTCTAGTCTATTCTATTTCCATTGCATGCGTCTCTACTGCGCCCGCCTTTTCATTTTTTCACAAGGGGTTTTTTGAATCCTAAGGCCATAACAACAACTCTATTTAGTCTATTTATCATTTTTTTTTCTTGCTGTCTTTTTTTCTATTTTTTTTTCCCAAAGTTGATTTTCGTCTTGCTTCAGTTTGATAGAATTATTCTGTTTTATATTCCACTTGCACCTTCGTCTTGCCCTTCACAGTTTAGGATCTAGAATTACTATTCAGCTTCCTCATCTCATTTCCATTGACATTCGTCTTGCTTCACTTGCATAGAATCCTATTGGTTTTATTCCCAATTTGCATTCGTTCTTGGCCTTCAGAGTCTAGAAGTAAGTAATATTTATGGCTTATGCTATATCCAGTTGCAATTCGTCTCCTGTGCTTCAGTTTGATAGAATTGTCAGTTCTATTCCATTGCATTTCGTCTTGACTTCAGTTGATGAATTTTTCAGTTCTATTCCATTGACATTCGTACGTTGCTTCAGGCGATTTAGATGGAATATACTAATCTCTGATTTGTATTCCCACATATGGCATTAGCCTCTTTCTTTCCATTCCCAGCCACATTTGACGCCTAACACGTCCATAGGAAAGTTATTCTGCTTCTTCATATTGTGCCATACTCGCAATCGTCACTGCTGTCTTCCAGGTCTGATTAAGCTAGACATTAGTTTTTGTTTTAATTCCACTCTGCAATTCCCCGGTCTTGACTTCACGCTTGCACAAATTAGGAACTTAATTCTTGTATCTATCCTCCCGATACTTTATGTACGATCTGTTGCTGTTTCAGATGGTCTTGGAATAGAACCTTCCGCTTCCAGTTCTATTCCATTGCATTCGTCACTTGCTTTCTAGATTGGATAGAATTGTTCAGTTCTATTCCATTGCATTTCGTACTTGCTTTCAGTAAGTTTGAGATCAAGTCTTGAAATATTCTGTCTAGGTATTTCCATTGCATTTCGTCGTTGCTTCAGTTTGACTAGGAATTGATTCTGTTGTCCTAAGTCTATTGCATTCAGTTCTTCGCTTTCAGTGCGATTAGAATTATTCCTGTTCTATTCCATTGCATTCGTCTTGCTTCAGTTTGAATAGAAATTATTCTGTTCTATTCCATTGCATGATTCGTCTTGCTTCAGCTTGATAGAATTATTCTGTTCTATAGTCATTATCAGCTCTTGGCTCTCATGGCTTGAACTATAATTTATTGCTCTGTTCTATTTCCATTGCATTCGTCTTGCTTCAGATTTTGATAGAATTATTTTCTGTTTTATTTCCATATGCGATATTTCGGTCTGTGCTTCAGGTTGCGATAAAATTATTTTTCTATTCCATTGCCTATTCGCTTGCCTTCAGTTTGGGATAGAATTATTCTGTTTTAACTTTTCCATTGCTTCGTTCTTGCCTCAGTTTGATAGAAGAATTATTTGATGTTTGTTCTATTCCATTGCATCTCGTCCCTTCTTCGTTGGGATACGTAGAATTATTGCTGTTTCTATATCCATGCATTTCGTCCTTGCTTCAGTTGATAGAATTAGTTCTGTTTCTATTCCATTGCATTCGTTCTTGCTTTCAGAGTTTGACTAGAATTTGTCTGTTTCTATTCCATTGCATTCGCTCTTGCTTCAAGTTTGATAGAATTATTGTGTTCTATTTCCATTGCATTCGTTCTGTCTTGCTTCAGAGTTGGATTAGATTATTCTGTTCTATTCCATTGCATTCGTCTTGCTTCAGTATTGAGTTAGAATTGTTCAGTTCCTATTCCATTGCATCATCTTGCTTCAGTTTGGATAGAATTGTTCACGTTCTATTCCATTGATTCGTCTTGCTTAGTTGGATAGAACGTTAATTCCTGTTACGTTTATCTCCATTGACATTCGTCTTGACTTCAGCGACTTCACAATAGATATTACTGTTCTTCATTCCATTGCAATCGTCTGTCTTGCTTGCCAGTATGTATAGAATTATTCTGTTCTTTATTCCATTGCATTTCGTCTTGGCTTCAGTTTGACGGTAAGAATTATTGTAAGCCTAGTCTATATCTCCAATTGCAGATTTCTTGATCTTGCCTTCAGCATTGCTAGATAGTTAATTATTCTGATAGTCGTATTAGTCGCATCTGCATTCGGTCTTGCGGCTTCAGTTGGGATAGAACATTAGATAGTCTCGTCGTTTCATATAGCTCCATTCTGCATCTCGTCTCTGCCTCAGTTGGAAGTAATTCTTTAGAAAGATTATTTCTGTTCTATTCCAATTGCATTCGTCTTGCTTCAGCTTGACCTTAGATATTATTGAGTTCTATTCCATGCATTCGTCTGCTTCAGTTGGATTAGAATTTATTCAGTGTCTCTTTACCAGCATTCGTCTTGCTTCGAGTTTGACAGCTTAGGAAATTTCTGTTCTATTCCATTGCATTCGTCTTGCATTGCAGTTTAGATCGGCAATAGAATTATTCTGTTCGTATTCCATGCATTCGTCTTGTTCGGGGATGATATATCTGTGTTCTAGTCCACTCTGTCATTCGTCTTGTCAGTTAGAACAGAAACGCCAAACCACGACGCTATGGAGCGCACGAAAGGATAGTATTTGTGTCCTAGCTATCATACTGTCCCGAACTGCAATCACCTGCGCGTTTGCTTCAGTTTGTAGAATTTTTAATTTATACGTGTGTCTCTATTCCAGTGCAGTTCGTTCTTGCTTCAGTTTACTAGAAATTTTCTGTTCTATTTCCATTGCCATTCGTACACTTAGCTTCAGTTTGATTAGAATTGTTCGTTCCCTTTATTCCCATTGCCATTCGTCTGCTTCAGTTTGATAGAATTTGTTCAGTTCTATTCCATTGGCAATTCGTGTCTTGCTTCAGATTTGACATCGTAGAATTGCTTTCATTGTTCTATATCCA